AGTGGGTCTTGCTGCCCCCGTTTTCTTTATGAGTTTTAGATGACAGAGAAAATAGAGGAGAGAAAGTGGCAGTGCTAGAGCTAAATCTACATGGCTAGAAGGAATTTCACAGCATGATGTTACTTAGCAGGAAAGGTCACGGAGAAGCCTCCGCCAAAGCCGGCTGCACAACGAGAGGGATTGCAGGCGCACACCCTGCTGCCCCGGGAGCGCACGGCAGACAGTAATTGGACTGATGGTGGCAGGGCGCTCTGCCGCTTTATCTACATGCCTAATTTTGGCCTTGTGCAGAGGGACCTGGACGCGTGCGCGCACAGGAGAGTTTGTTAGCTTGCCTGGGTGACCCAACTCAATTAGGAGGCACTTCCACGGGGGGGTGGGGGGAGCAAAATGTCACCTTCTATCGTTCTTGCTTCATTTCCCCCTGCTGTCTTCAGTTCTCCTTGCCTCATTACGTCAGCCTCTCGCTTTGGAGGAGCAACGCTAGAGAGAGAGGGAGGGAAACTACCCAGGAAAACCAAAGGCATGAAGTTGCATCACGGGAAACCACCTCCTCCCTCCCAGGCGACTTCACGCCCTTGAACGGCCCAGCCTGGACAAGCCCTGCAGTGACAGGGGCAGCGTGGTTAAGCTGCTTGTGTGCACACATGCACACACACACACAAATAGACTTTTCCACTGCTTCACTGCACAGATCTTGACCGTCTCTCTTTGGCACAAACCCAAAGGGTTCAGACCGCGAAGAGAAAGAGATGCTTATACCCCGGTCGAGCCCCATCCAGGCAGCAGAGCAACGGAGCCCTGCGAGCAGAGCAGAGAGGGCAGCAGCTCCCGCTCGTGCCTCCATTAGAAGACCTGGTTGTCCCCCGCGTGGCCCCCGCTGCAGACTAACAGTCCACAGACCCCACGGGCTTGCGTCCTACAGCCTGACTTTGGTGCTGCCCCCCCTCTCGAGGCCGTCTCCCCCTTGGCAGAGCACCTCCAGCCCTTGGCACGTAGCTGCCTTCAGAGAAACGGCCACTGACGCTGCAGCCGCTCCCTAGAGAGGTTGTCCGGGAGCCTGAGCTGGGAACGGCATCTGCGTTTTCCCAGCTTCCATCCCCGCCGCCTGATCCACGTATGGCCGGCCGGCCGGCCGCCTGGACCTCCCCGGAGGCAGCCTCCCCGTTCGGCGAGTGATTCGAGGCGATTTCCAACGTCCTGAGCTACTTCAGCTCAGTGTGTTCCAGTTAGCGTCACGAGACGTTAACCTCCGTTATCCTCCGTACACGAGGAATTGTTCGCAGGCAAATAGGGAAAAGCTTGACGTGCCTCTTCTCTGACTTTGTCACTCAACTCGTCCCACTGTTTGGGCTCCTGAGTTCTTCCCCTTTTCTAGGAAAGGAGCGTGGGGAAGAAACGCTCCTACACTGGAATGCAAAGGTTTCTCTCGTTTATAAACAGACTATTGAAAAGTAAATTTTAAAGATCACAAAGGCAAGAAGGTGCTAAGTATCTAGAGCAGAAAGCCCGTCCCATGCTTTTGTCACCACTCAGGGACGTGGGGAACGTCCCTGCTTCTCCCCACCCCAGGAGCTGAGACAGATCCTCCATCCCACAAGCACCCAAGGGAGCGATGCTGCCACGCGCGGACCCGGCTCTCGCTTCCCTGCGCCCGGGTGCACGCCGGGGACGGGACTGCCTCGCCACGCAGCTCTGGGCGATCACGCCGGGCACTGAGGCCAGCTCAGCTCACGCGGCTGCCCGGGTGCAGAAACGTGCTCGAGGAGGTTCCCAACGCCTTTCAGTGAGGACACCGAGACCCTCGGGCAGGGTGAGGGGAGATGAGGAGGAGGAGAGGGAGCTTATTCACACCCATTATTTTAGGCACGTAACTTCAATGCTATTTAAAAAACAAGTAGTTCAGAGCCCAAACTGCAGAAAGAGCTGGTGCCTCCGAGGGGTGATTCAGAGCCCCCCGAGGTCGCACGCCTGCAGCAGCCTATCTTCATCCCCCCGCCTCCTCCTTCAAGCTCTTCCCTGACTCAGGCTTTGCAGACACAGAGGAACCCCAGCAAACCAGAGACCTCCTGTGCAAAGGAAGAAGACCTCTCCCCCTGTTCATCACTGTCCATTTAATAGCAGTGGGCTGCAGGGAAATTGCACACTTATTTCAGAGCTGCCACAGCACGGACCGAGGCACCTGGGCCCAGGAACAAACCACCCACTGATCACTTCAAACACGATCAACATGTTAAACCAGCATCACGGTGGCTGATTCTGGCCTTTAGGTTCATGAAGCAGTGCTGCAGACCAACAGTCCACAGCATCAGAGAGCGTATTTTAGGATGCATTAGTCTCTCTTGGGTTGGCATCTCTATTGCATTTCCTTTTCCCCTCCAATAACTGATTTTTAAGGTTCAATAGCTACCAATTCACTCTAATTAGCAGAAATCCCTGTGGAGAAGAAAGCCTTTAGTGAGGAAAGTGATAGTCATAGGCAGAGTGCCCAGGGGGAAAAATAAAACAAAAAAAAAATAAAAAGAAAGGGAGAGAGAGAGGGAGAGGGAGAGGGAGAGGACAGTATATCTTGACTAACTGTCTGATGGGAAGTGGAAATAAAACTGGGCTTATCGAACTGTGCATAAGCCACACTGCAGTCCATGAGCCCACAGAGCACCTCAGCCCCAGAAGGAAAGCCAAAAAGTGGTATTTGGCAACGTGTTTCTGTATCAGGAGAGCCTGGCTAAAATCCACTAGAAGAGAAGTTATCGGGAATCAGCTCGCTACATGCACAGCTTCAGGACACTGCCCATTTCAAGGCACACTCACGACTCCCCTTTCCTGGGCAGGTTCAAGGCAGGGGTTTTCCAAGGCTGTTCCTGTAGCACATCCAGCAGCTGTACTCACAGTATTCATGGAGCTGTTAGCGTAAGCCAGCATGGACACTAACCCGTCTGCTTGAAAAAAGACACCTAGCAGGGCAGCTCTCGTGCCCCCAGTCTGTTGAAAACATGCAAAAGCTTCACCTGCCTCTTGCACACAGCCCTTCATCATCCCCTCATTAAAGCCAGCGCTGCGCCAAGCATCCTCTCTGGAAGCGAAGGAGCCTGTCAAGCAAGCGGTAGCACACTTGAGGGCACTGTGTTATGCAGCCTGAAGCTGGAGTGCTGAGGAGCAACAAATAAAAACGCTCCAAGAAATCACTGAAATTGAAGCGGGGACAAACCGGAAACTTGACTATGAGTCTTAAGAGGTGTTGGAACAAAAAAGCATTGCAGGACTGCGCAGGAGCCCCTCGCTGTCCCCAGGCTGCACTGGGTACGTGTCCAGGAGCCAGCTGCTCGGTTTCAGATGAGCGCTTGCCAAGTGTCCAAGGATAAGCTCTCAGCTCCTTTCTTTACCCCCATTTGGAAAAGCGGAAGCACAGTTGGACCTGTAAGACCTTACACAGCAGCAGCTAGAAAGCTGGTCTGAAAGAGCCTGGCACTTCATACAAATATTCATCCTGAATGAAGATGGATGAGCCACCTCTTGGAAAGAGCCCCATCGCATTTACCGGCACACCTGTGAGCAGTGGGTCAGGCTCTGCAAAGGAAGCAGCAATTTCCCTGAACAGCAACTCACATCGCCTGCACCAACGCAAGAAGGGGCAGGGGACGTGGGAGGACGGCAGGCAGCTCAGGGTCAAAACAGTGTTTCACACGGGTAGGACCCTTGGCTGAGTATAGGCAAGCTGGATGCCACGGGCTGTCTGATGCCTGGGTGCTACAAGACATTTCCAGCGAAAGCATCCTTGAGACCCCACAGATTTAGCAGGGTTTAGGAGAACCTCTTCCCAGCCAAGGGCTCAGGCTCGGCACTTCCCAGCTTCCCGGCCCCCAGCACGTGGCACTCGAAATGCACCACGCTGTTACCCTATGCTTATACCGGAAAGGTGCCAAAACCCCCTCGGGTCTGCTCTGTTTGACACCGTCACCGCCCTTCCCTGTGAGCCCCCTCCTCAGTCACCGAAAGCTACCATTAATCCAAGTCACGGCACACAACCTCCATTCGGGCAGGGCGACTGACAACATGTATTTAGCCTCCACCTTCGGTTGTGCGTTAGACTTCCTGCTCCCACTGCTTCTATTTTTAAGGGTGAGAGTTCTGGTGCGCAGTAGTTTCCCCAATTCAATCTCCTTTCTCCTAGCTGTTCCCTGAATTAGCCAGTTTCCACGGTAAAACACAAAACCTGCTAGACAGACCCGAAATGCCCTGGCAGAACCATGCAGAGAAGCTTAAGCGAGCTGCGCCTCGCTACTCCATCTCTGTCACTCGCCCCCAAAAGCGCTGCGAGTCACCAGAAAATTAAGTCCCTGTGAAAATGAGGATGAGGAATTAAAGTCAGCTGGCTTTCTTCCAGTTTCTTTTTTTTTTTTTTAAAGAATATCAGTAGGTACCTGTTATAATTCCTTCAGGTATTTCACTTGTGAAAAAAAGGAATTGATCAAGACAGATTCAAGTCTTGCCAGGGGAGAGAGGCAAGCCCAGGGCAAGCTGGCCAGAATCTTCTACTGGAGGATTAAAATAGCTCTTTAGCACTTAGTGCTTTTATATATGTTAATTAAGCCCAAATCCAAAAGGTCTGTTCACTTGGCAGACACCTTCCACACGAGCATAATTTTACCAATAGGGAAACTGAGGCTGTGACTCAAGGGACAAATGGGAGACGGGACACAGCTACGGCCTGTCAGCCCAGGACTGACACCAGCACAGTCTCTGCTTCACTAAGAGCAAGTTATTGGATGATTTGAAAGTACTTTAGGTGTCTCAAAATAGGAGAGCCCACATCGCTATGAACAGCAATGAATTAGAGGTGCATGTGAAATAACACAGAAGCGTTATCAGCCAAAACAGCTAGAGGAACGTCTTCTCTAAAGCGCTGCAAAGCAAAGAACGATCAACAGACAAGTGTTGCAAAAGGATTCACAAAACACCGTGTTGCATTTTCACTAGAGATTATGAGAGCAGCTACTTACATCAGAAGCAGGGCCTTTATCAGCACCGGGGCAGGAGAAAGTAACAAATTCATGGCACCGCTTGTGTACGACGAAGCAGCAAACTGCAAAGGGAAGACAGCAAAAGCGTCAGAGGTAGGTTGGGGGATCTGCACCACACCAAACCCGAACCTGAGGCTCTTTCACAGACACACGCTTTTATATGTGGAAGCATGCTGAAGCATTAATCTTTTGTTTCTTTATCAACATGATTAATTAGCATCTGATTAGGGCCACACTCCAAAATTGTGTTTTATGTTATAAACAATAAAACTGCTTTTAACTCCAATTTATCAGAAGAGGCAACTAGGACGCTAAGAAGGTTTCTTATAAAGCAAGCTGTGGCAGAACTTAAAATCTTATTGAATACGATCAACTGGACGGGACACGTCAGTAAAACGAAGCGGAAGCAACGTTGAACGAGTGTCAAGCGAGGGCTGGGAACCCACATTATTCCCCCCAGCTCCCTGTCGCTCACTGTAAACGCTCTGCTGTAATCCTCATGTATAAAAAAGGAAGTTATCCGGCATAAAGGGGTATCAGAGCTGAAAAGCACTTGTGTTCACAAAACGTATGATTGCGCTGATACAAACAAGGGCACAATTTTCCTCCCACAGCTCTGCTGCTCTTCAGCAAAGCCACAGCCGCGTTTCGCCGGGCCAGGAAGACGCCCACCTCTGCCCCTCCTCGCACACGGAGGCGGTGGGGTCGTCCTTCGGGTAATCCTAACGTGCCAAGACTGGCAAACCCGAGCATCCAGAGGGGAATCCCTACGCCTCACACCGGCAAACCCCTCCGGCGCGGAGCTGCCAGCGGCGCCTCTGCAGCCCGCGCAAAGGCTGGCTCTCAAAGGCCAGGCGGCTTTCCTAAAAAACGTCAAGCGAGCACCTCTCTCTCATAGCGTAAAGCGATTCAAAGAAATCGAACAAGATAAAACCACTGGAGTAGTGCAGAAATCAAAGTTGCACGAATATAGGATTTTTAAGGAACAAGGCAAGTGACGCTTGCCATTACATTCACAACCCCCTTACTGTGTCCTGCTACTTCCAGCTTCAAATTCATTTTCCTTTCCGCGCTTTTCATTATTAAAAATAAATAAGTAAATAAATAAAATTAAAAAGGAAAAAAATGAAAATCAAACATAGACTGTTTGAGAGCTGCCAAGGACCTTTTCCTCCTAGGGCCTCTCACTTGCTTTTGTGTGTCTACCAAATAAACGTTTTCTTGGAAACACTGTTCACCATTTCTGTCATTCGTATAGGGAGACAAGCATCTGGGAAGCAGGAAGGAAGAAATCAGAACTCTATTAGCAAAGATTTGCTCTGAAGCGCGTGTATAAATTTAATGTGCCTGCAAGCGGCATTCAAGCGCGGGCGCTGCCTGGAGGCTCCAGGCCGCTGCCGAAACCCAGACCGCAGCAAGGGAAGTTTCCATCGGAGCTGGCACAATTTTAGCTTTCTAAAGAAATAAGATTACTACTAGGCTGAAGAGTCCTTCCCAGCGCCGTTCCTCCCCCCAGACGAAAGAGGCTGCTGAATACGACCCGGTCTTTGAAGAGCAGGTAGAGGAGAGAGGCCGGTGGCTCCCCATGGCGCTCTGCAGGCTGCCAAAGCCCAGCTGCCCCCATCGCTTCTCCAAGGAGCCCACGCGGCGAACGCGGGGCGCTCGCCCGGGCTCAGCTCCTCG